AATAAAGCGAAAAAACGCTCAGAACTTTTTACTTCACCTAATATAATATACAACTCATACAAATGTGTGCACGCTGTTTCGTATATTATAATCGAAAGATACACACATATACGCCTGGATAACTCAATAACTTTATAGATGGAGAATTTTTATATTTGTAGAGTAACTGGATTCCAATTAGTTACTAAGTCTGCCGTCAATGCGTTATATAAAGTACATATAGTTTGTCTAATAAGAACGTGGTCGGCTTAATTTGTAGAAAAAATTTAGTTAACAAAATTTTAAAATACATAGATACAGATTCTATTTGATTAAAGCTAAAATATAAACATTAATAATGTGTTTAGTCACAAGCGGCGATAATTGATTGATATCTCCAAGGCATACTTTGTATCAAATTGACAGCGTATTTGTACGGTAAGGATCTCCATATACGACGAATCTCGAGATAAAACTTTAAACTGAATATTTATCTTCCATGAAGTTTATGCTTAATATATATAAACATTTTTTATGAGATTTGCATCGGGTGATTGTGACAGACTATCGAATTAATTGATGTCAGACCTCTCCTTTCACTCAGTATAGAGCCTGCTCTAGTCTTTAGGATCATTATCCTCCTGTAGGATTATTTTTCATTTTTTTTTTTAATAAATCAATATTTAGAAGATGGCAACAAACCCTTTTTATAGATTTTCAACATTTTTCTTTATTTAGAATGTGTGTAAATAAATACAGTGTACCGAATTCCTGTTTTGAGAAGCAGTCTCAAACGTGTAGCTTTATTACGTGTTTAATAATCCGTTGTATTACTTTAAAGATAGTTTAGATTCGTGAGATGATATATGTCCAAAAAGAAACTTCATCAGTAAAAATTACGTTGCTTCAATCTCGATCAATATTCGTCTAAGCAAGTTGTGTTTTCACATGCTTTTCAGACAAAAGGTTTTTTTACTGTGCTTTGCCATTTTATATCATGCGCACGGAAACGGCGTCGTATAGTTTCACAGGAAATATTGAAACTTTTCTCTTCCAATTTTTCTTATCCTTGACGAAGTTTTAATGCATGATTTTTCGAAAACATATTCACCATCCGTTTATCGTCTGTGTTTTTCTTTTTTAATCTTTACATCGAGTCATGTAAGTAATCGACCGTTTTTGTTTTTATATCGCTACATCTATTTTTGGACAAAAGATTTTGATTTTCTTATGTACTTAGCAATAGTTAATTGTGATATTTTCGGTCCCTTCAAATGTTCGCAAAGAAACATAGCTCTGAAGCGCGACATTTATGCGGCACTCATGATGTCTATGCTTTGTTTTGACAAAAATTTAACGATAACTGAGCTTTTCTTCGCAAAGCATCAAAGAGAAAAGTGTTCTCTATTGGCTTGCGTAAGATTCTAAGTATAGTTATTACTAACTACGAATTATACTGACTACGCTCTTATTAGACAGACTGTAACTTTCGAGTACACAGAATCTAGGAAGGAAAAAGAAGATAAAAAATGTTATGTACTCTTAAGTTATTATTCAGTTTTATTGAGTTTTTCAGATTTTGACGAAACTGTGCCATTTTGAATGCGATTTTTAATACTTTTCCATTAGTTTAATTTAAAACAAATGTTTGCAAATGATTCAGCACATAAAAAAATATAAAAAAACATGCATAAGAAAGGTTCAATATTTAGACCAAAAATTGCATATTTTAACCATCCTGTTTTTGCGCGGCTAAAGCTTTTGAGCACCGTGCTATTAAGTTTCAACAAATAATAGTAATAACCTTTTAAGGTGCTTAATTCATGGAACATTCTAGTAACTTTTTTTTAATGAAATATTCATAAATATTTCAATGAAATTCAATATTTGAATGAAATATTCATGAAATATTTTTTTAATGAAATAACCAAAAACACTAAATAGCACATTTATAAAATTTCAACTGCCCGATCCCTATTGGTACCAGTGATACTTAAAGGGTTGTAAAGCAACTCTTTAACTTAAATTAGAAGACGCAAAACTGTGAATATGATTGTAAGAATATAGAGAACTTTTGTTCTCAAACTTAAAAAAAGCATCATAATAATACATACTTTGTCAAAGGACAATTTCTTCATTAAATTTTTTTCTGAAAAAGATACGCTTTGTACTTTTTTCCGGCGAGTTTAATTTTTTCATAAAAAATAATAACATTATACTATGTATAATGAGTTCTACCTGTATACGAGTCTAAAATATATTGTAAGTCATTTACAATTTTTTATAATGCTATTTTTATAACTTTTATGCAGAATGTTACAAGAAATCTACTTATATAAAACGATTAAGGTAATTCAATAAAAAATCAAAGTTAATCTTTAAATCTCCGAAACATCTGCATTTATAAAAAGAAAATACATATACCATCTAATAACTTCCTCGAAATCATGTAACTTTTGCATGTAA